CACAGCTTAACACCTGTGAAAAGACGTAGAGGATCTTATCTTCTTCAAGCTTCTTGGAAATCAATAATACGCTGTCACTGCTATTTACTTACCACGATCAGCAAATATCGATTGATCACCTACCCTCTATTGAGGTTATAAATTGTATCATTGAAACGGGGGAAGAAGCTAGTGACCGAAAGTCTTAGACACAGTATTCAGTATCTGCGCTTTTATCACTGAAGACAGCAGGTTTGGTAGTGTGTTGGGTATATGTTGTTAGGTACCATGGAGTTAGCTCCAACTCACCTGCAATCCAGTGTGTAACAGGTCAGAGCCCTGCCCAATTCTGCACCCACCACTCAGTCACTGCTGTGCTTAAAAGGCCGTTGTTGAAGTCACTGTCAGTCTGTCTGGTTTAGGGTCTTCCTCCTTTTCCGATCCTCTGCCTTTCCAATGGTTGAGGATATAAGGCAGGAGAATAATATTATTATTTAGCCCAAATGATAAAGCGTTATGGAACCAAATGAAACATTTGCTTAAGATTTGATGCAATTTAAATGTTTTGTTTAACAGACATTTGTAACTGTCAGCCTCTGTGACCCTGCCCTTTCCTGTCTTTGGGTACACCCCAACTCTTGCGTTTAGAGGCTGCGTAGAATAATGTGTTCTTTATGACCTGATTCGCCCTTTCGCCTTACCGGTTCCCAGCTAATAGAAAATAAGGTGCTCCCTTTTCTGACAGTGCTGGGAGTGCAGCAGTCCCTGGAGTAACAAGGAGATTTGTCCCTGTGTGTATCTTTAAGGACTTTGTAGCTCAATTGGAGCAAGTCAGTGCAGTTCTTATTTAGAATGTAGTGCCAAGAAGGAGCCCTGGTGGCATACTGTAGCCAGAGGTGGCCATTAGGATCCGCTGGTCAGTGGGAGAACGAGGTAGTCTCCCCTGGAAGGATGTATAGATAGACACTGACGGAGGTCGCTGTAATTCACCGACTGCAGAGGGCTTGGTGTTGGCAGGGATTCAGGCTCTGGTGATTAGACTCCGCCAGCCGCTTAGTGGGAGAAAAGCTAGGTAGTGTCCGCTTGCTGAGATTTACAGCCTCAGAAACTCAGTGGAGGATCACCAAATGGGACGCTGCTTGAAAGCAGTGAGTTTGATGGGTTTGAAAATTTTTTTTAAGTGCAAGAAAAGGGTCAAAACCTTTTCAGTGATTTACTTGTTGCATGTGCAACAAGTAAAGGCGATTGTGATGGAAGAATTTGTTGTGTAGGGTTTGGTTACTTTGTTTCCAAGTGCAGACAAATTTGCATACTACTAAGTACTACTACTACTACTCTCCTAAATCTGATGCACCCCTGGGATTGCCTGTACGTGGTGTCTCCAGGCATGGTGTAAAACTAACTGCCACCTCTTTTCTGAAAGCATTCTGAGCACTGATTTCTTCGTTTTATTTCTTGGCTTGTGATGTACTTCACACAAGATTTCAAATCTTACAGATGACTTTACGCCCATTTACTGTCAGTCACAGTCACCTGGGTTTTTTACTCTAAGAGCTGTGTCGTTTGATCAGACCCTTCCCTTTCTCCATCACCTGTATAAGCAGACATAAGCACTTTAAATAAAGTAAATTGACATTGACGCGTCTCTCACCCATCTCCTCATTTGTTACCGCCCTTTATTGCATGACACTGTGGTAATAGTCATGAAGCAGAGTTGTCAACAAAATCTCTCTTCCTGATGAACCAGAACTGACAGCCCCAGGCCACGTGTCACGTGCCGAGCACCCGTTTGCAGGTGTGTCCCTGCCTGGGCTCAGCGTTGAGATAGTGCCACCTGCCCTGTACACACAGCAGAGTTAAGATTTGTAAATATGCCCCCCCCCATCCCCCTTTCATGAAGCAGAAGTAGGTAACTTAGTTGTCTGGTTTAGAATCCTAAAATTTGTAGCATAGTTGTTGAGATTGCAAGTAAAATACAGGAGATACGTTCTGGCATATTTGGGTTTAACTGCTTGCCTGCTGACTACGTGGCAGCTGTTCAGATCCAGCCATCAGCTCCCAGCTCTTCCTCAGGAGAGATACGTGGCCGTGGCATCCATGAAGATGGTAGCCTCTGAAATTCGGTGAGACTATTGTCCTGTAGGATAACCACGAATCAGAGTGATTGAATAGCAAACCCTGGTGGTATTTACAGTATTTTAGTTTATCAGAGAGTTAAGAAAAATCCAGGTATAGGTTAGCCTCCTAAGCTGACAACTGTTCATGGGGCATTATTTTCACAGGATGGAATTTGAGTTCAAAACTGGAGAATTTCTTTCTGCCTTAGAGTCAGATTAATCTGTCAGCCGTTATGAGGGAGGAGGAAGACGAGGTCTTTCCCTTCTGTAAAGATTCACAGCCTCATAAACCCTTTGGAGGGTGACCAGGAGCCAGAATCCAATCTGTGGTAGTGGGTTTGGGCTATATTTGCACATTACTACCCATTGGATGACGGAGGGTGCCTGAAATGGTGATTGCTTGGTAAAGAATTGTCTCTGTCAGAGGAAGCATATGGCTTTGGCCGTTTCTTCTGATATTTACTCCTGTTAAAAATTGAAAATGGAATCTCCAGTAACACAGCTCATTACTGTGGAAACCCAAATTAGTATAGATTTTAAATACTGAAAGTCTTTGTAAATGGATTTTAAAAAGTTGGTTTAGAGTAGCTAGAAACAAAGAGAGAAAAGGGAAACAAATGAGAATCAAGCTAAATAGATACGGGAGGGTGAAACTCTCTCACATACTTTAGACATGATGTCAGGAGGGACCAGTGCTTGGAAGGGGGGAAAAAGATATCATGCTGTGAAGAATAGAGGATGACCAAAGGAGAGGAAGACTCCAAACAACACAGTGACTGCAACATGGGGTTTGAGGCTGGCGGAGAATGTGATGCTGGCTGAAGATGGGGTAGAGTCCCCATTTGTGTTCATTAAGGCACTGTGAGCCATAGCTGACCACCAACACCTTACAGAGTGAGTTACAAGGTTGCCTTTCATGCTTATTGAGATGGAAGCAAAAGAAGAGGCCAGAGAGTTCTAGGTCATTCTCCAGGTTGCCTTTGAGGGTGTAAAACAGTGTTAGCATTATTCTCTGGAATCCCATGGGATGCAGAGGAAGCTGCAAGGCCGGTCTGGAATGATGGTGAGGTCCTTCAGAATGCCAGAAAGACTAGAGGCTGGCAAAGATGACAAGGAGAAACTTCTGGATGCTGTTTGCATAGACGTAAGGGTGCGTAGTCCAGAAGGGAAAGCCACGTGAACAGTTACATGATTGAATGAAGAGTCTGACAGTCTTTGATGATAAATCTGGTTAGAAAGACACTATGGTGAGGAAGAAAGGGAGGGAAGAACAGAATAGGGGCGAAGTGGATAAGGAAAGCTGGTGGTAGAATTTCCACAAAGGTCTCTCCTCTGTCTCAGAGATTTTTCTGCTGGCAGAGTATGATTCATTCACGATTAGCGCACTTGTTCAGAGAACTTTAAAGCTATTAAAACACAATGTAAAGTGAATCCTATTAAAATTTTTGTTATTTCCCTGTTGGAAGAATAATCCAGGCTTACTTTTTAAAATATGCATTAAAATTTGTGTTTTTTTAGTAGAAGGGAATATTTGTATTTCTAAATTCACCCGCTAATGGAAATAGAGCTTTTCTCTGCATCTGCCATGCGTCCTTCTCCCAACTTTTAGAAATCTCTGCCCCTAAATTGCTTTCATAACCCCTTCCCCCAAAATCAGATAGTCGTGTTGGCAGTGGTATAGAGAAACTGGCCTAACCTATGATAGTTAACTCTCTGTTAAATTCATGAAAATTGAGAAAGACCCCATCAAAGCAGTGAATAATTTACATAGATAGATAGATATAGATATATGTAAACAGGTGGAATAGCTTAAGTGAAGTAGAGGTCTGAGAAATAAATCTAAATAAGCAATGTTATTTCAGTGGAAAAATATCATGTAGCTGTTGAAAATAAAATGACAACAGAAATTGTGCTGATATAGAAAGAGTGATCTACAATATTAGGTTATAAAAACAGGGATATGACTTTTCTGTTTTCTTTTGTATTATAGAGGTGAATTACTATGCGACTCTCTTATTTTTTTGAATTCTCTTCATTTGTAATTGACAAATAGATTTTCTTCACTGTTAAATAGAATTGTGTATGGAAATGGCTGTTTGATTTCTTGAATAGGAAAGACTAAGAAAAAGTGGAGCAGGATATATGGGACTCTAGAATCACTTAGAGTGTGTTGAATGGCTACTTAGACCATTGCTCCCTTCTCCTTCCCATTGCTTGGAGACCTGAGGACACTTGTTCAGTATGTCCCTTTCTCTCTAAGCCTACAAAGAGGACTTAGAGCTGTAGTCTGCCACTTTCAGAAGATTGGACCAAACCTAGACTGAAGCGTTTCCAGTACACAAAATGATCATTGGATTTTTCTTTCTCTGTATATAAGTCATTAAGTATTTAGAAGGGGAACTTAAAGAGAGCAGATATCTTTTAAATGCTTTAACTGATTTCTAAAAATACTGATAACGTAGAATGAGTATTCAAAGACCAAGTGGAGTAAATTTTTAAAAATTTTTTATTATTATTATTGTGTGTGTGTGTGTGTACCGTCAAATCAGATCTGACTGGTACAGGAGGAGATTGTCCCTCCTTCTCCAGCAGAGCATCTGGTGGGTTTGAATCACATGCCTCTGGGATTGCAGTGTGGCTTGGAGTAAATTCTTAAAATGTATGGGTTTGTGTGTATGTAGTTGCTTTAAACTACTGATTATTCATAGAAATTTCCTAAGCTTTACCAACTGCCCGAAGAATATTAGTATTCTGGAAACACTGAACCCAGCATGGAAAATAAGAGCTATAGAGTAGAGAAGGGTTTTAAAAGTTCAGAAGAAAGGAAAACTCATGGTTGTGGGTTTGCTGGTTTGGTTTTCCTGATTTCCTTTGAATTTACCATCTTCCCACTTCTCTCTGCAGTGAATACCTACCTCTTCATGATGCAAGCTCAAGGCATTCTGATCCGAGACAACATGCGGACGATAGGTGCTCAGGTTTATGAGCAGGTGGTCCGGAGTGCTTATGCCAAGAGGAACAGCAGTGTCAATGATTCAGGTATGTTTTTAGCAAAAAACTGTTCTGATGCGCATGTCTCCTCCCAGGAGAGATAAATTTAGTTGGAATATGTATTTTTAATGGCTAAAGATATGTTATAAAAATAAAGGACGTTTTGGCAGAGTCTTACTCTACAGCTAAAAAAACCCAGAACTTCTTGCACAGTGATCCCTTTTTCATTTTGCTAATGGTGTTTAAGAATGACTAGCTGACTCCTTGACCCCTTTTTTCTTGTCTAATACTTTTTTCTTTAATTTTTTTTATTGAAAGGAACATACATTCAATAATTTACACATAGGCAATTTAGTAATTTGGATTATATTCTTCAAATTATGTATCCATTCTCAAATCGTTTTCCAGATTGGTCTTCCTCCATTAACATATACCTGCTGCCTTCAAGTTTCCTATCTACTATTTCAAGTTGTGATTGTTAATTTGATCTTATGTAGATAGTTCTTAAAAGAACAGAGTTCTCAAAAGCAGACATTCTTTACTAGTTGTTTTTAACTAGTAAAGAATATTATTTAGCTTTAAGAGGACTTCAGGGGATATTTTTTATTTCATGTTTAAAAATTATCTCAGGGCAGTAGCTTTGTGCATTCATTCCCCCTAGATGGCTTCATAAAGAGTAGATTCTATAGCAATTTTAAATTCTATTTTGCACTTCCCCTTTTTTGACAAGGATTTTTCTATAACATTTTTTAATTAAAACCTTTAGTAATGATAGGTAGGAATTATTCACTTCTTCTAATCTTAGAAAATGAGGCAGGTCCTAATACATTCCTGGGGCGTAAGAAGTGTCTTTCAAGACTGCTGTGTTCTGTGTAACTGCCTCAATTATCTTGCTGTAACACGTACATATTGTTGTGTACCACTGAGTCGGAACTGACCCATAGCTGACACTCCAGTGGGTTTTCTGAGGTACAGAAGACTGCCTAACGTCCTCCTGCAGAGCAGATATGTAGGCACCAACCAAAGAGGAGAACCAAGAGCTTTTTTTTTTAAAAAAAAAAAGAATCTGATGTTTAATTTCAAAGAATTTAATTGCTATAACCAATGGGAGAAAGCAGAATTTGGTTGACTCCATACACTCATTCCTGGTTTAATATGGTGGGTTTTGTTTGCTCTGTGATTTTGAGTTACACATGATGGTGGTGGTGAGGATCCCTGGTGCTTTTGGAGTTCAGCCCTGCTTGCTACATATCTTCATTCTGTCTATTAGACGTCACTTGAATTTATTGCACCTTATTATAGGAATTTACCTCATTGTGTATTAATACTTGCAAGGTTTTCTTTCTTATTCATCTTGTAATCTGGAACAGTTCCCGGAGATTGTAGTTATAAAGGCTACTCCTGGGGAAAAGGTTGACAGATACTTTTTCCTAGTTTACCTTCCTCTGTTAGGTGTGGTTTAATTCCTGTTATCTTGCTGAGTTTGGTGTTCACCTTCTGAGAAAGTGAAAGCATTTGCCTCTAAGGGGGTAAAATCCTTCTAAGAATCTACCACATCCCAGTGTATCAGTCTGTCCTTCTGCACCTAACAACAGCATGACCCTTCTAGCTAGTTTAGTGGGATTAATGACACTCCCTTTTCTATAATTTGTCTTTATAGACAAAGTACTACATTTTACATACTGATAAGCTTTTGATGCTTCTTTTATCTTGTTTGTGAGGGACCAAGTTTTTTAGCCAGACTGTGGTTCCCATAGGACAGCTGTCTGACTTCTGAACCACACCTGGAAGAGGAATTCCTGCAGGCCCCATTTCATCTCAGCCAGGAAGGATGAGGGTTGCCAGAGATCTCCACACACGTTGTCTCTAGTATGGCTTAACTCTAGTATGGCCCTGTGAGGTGGGCAGGGTTTCCTTATATTCCTTTATAGTTGTTTTATTTTAATAAGTTTATATTGTGTTTTAGTGAAAGATTACAGAGCACAGTAGTTTCTCATTTTTGCTGGTTGGTGCATAAGTGATCCGTGACATTTTTGTACTCCCAGAACTGTGTTACTACTCACCCCATTTCCGCCCTGGGTTCCCCATTTCCTTCCCTCCCAATTTTTTAGCCCTTCCTACCCTTTACTTTTGGACAAATATTTTCTTTTTGATCTTGAATAATTGATTGTTCTAAGAAACACATTCCTTTTAGGTATTATTGTTTATTTTATGGGCCTGTTGAGTGTTTGGCTGAATGGTAGTCTCTGGAACTGACTTCATTTTGAGGTCATAAAAGTGTCTTAGGGTCATTGTCTTAGAGCTTTCCCTGGCCAGTCTCCATCAGACCAGTAAGTCTGGTCTTTGTGTAACTTTGATATTGTTGTTGTTGTTGCTCCTGCTCTGTCTAGAACCCTTTGTTGTGATCTCAGCATGGCTGTTGGTGGTGGCTGGGCACCGTCCAGGTCTTCTGGTCTCGGGATCATGTAAGCTGTGGTTGGTGCAGCCCATTGGCTTGTTGGACTGATTTGCTCCCGTGAGCTTTTGGTTTTCTTCATTTTCCTTTCCTCCACATGGGAAGAGACCATTAGTTTTATCGTAGTTTTCTTGCAAACTTTTAAGACCATGGATGCAGCTCATACGTAGGATGCTACTGTTTTTATGGACTTTGTTATGCCAATGACATAGTTGCCCAGGAGCCTATAGTCTTTCACTTTTGAAACTAGAAGCTCAATCCTGTGAAGTGTTTTTATGACTCTGCCCCTGTGTGCTCCATACTCTCTATTAATAAATATGCAGCTCCTATAAATATGTATGTAGAAATACACACAATCAAACCTATAGCTGCAGGTGGGTGTGCTCCCTTATCCCCTCACAGACCTACTTTACCTATTTCCCTATGTACCCTTCCATTCATTACTGTATGTTAATAATATTTCCCCCAGATTGTTTATATTATAGTAATTACCCTATTGCCCTTTATGCTCATAGTCCTTTGCCATGGTCGTGCTGTGCTGACTTCCTCCAAGCAGTGAATTGTCTTTTCCATCATTATTAAGGCGTGTCTCCTACCTCAAACAGAATTCACTCAGGCCCACTGACTCGGTTCTCAGTCATCATGACCCTCCGTCAGGTGTCTGAGGCTGTAACCATAACAGGAAGAGACTGCCCAGCTGGCTCCCTTTCAGCCACTGTTGTATTCAGGTTGGGTAGTTGTGGCCTTTGAGTTTGCAGTATTACTGCTATGGACTGTACCATAGTTAGTAGTTAGGGCCTTCCCTGGTCACCATCTCCCCCTGTGTGTGTCGGAGTCAGTGAGACACCATCTCCCCCTGTGTGTGTCGGAGTCAGTGAGATACCATCTCCCCCTGTGTGTGTCGGAGTCAGTGAGGCTGGCTCAGGACAGGGCAGGCTTCAAAGCTGTTGTGAGTCACAGGCTACTGGACTGCACACAACAACAAGGTAAACCGCACCTTGTTTTTTCTTCTAATAGTGGTCACATACAATATTTGTTCTTTTGTGATTGACTTGTTTCACTTAGCTTAATGTCCTCCAAGTTCACCCATGTTGAAATATTTCACAGATTCTTCCTTCTTTATCACTGAATAATATTCTATTGGTTGTATGTTGTTGTTGCTATTATGTGCCATTGAGTCAGAATGGCCTCTTAGCTGACCCTCCTCCAGCAGATTTTCAGAGGCTATGAAACACTTAAAGGAGATTGCCTTTCTTTTCCCCATGGAGCAGCCGGTGAACTTGAACTTCAAGCCTTTAATCTGGCAATGCAGCTCCTTACCCACTAGGCCACATGCCTTTATTCATCTATTGATGAATACTTAGGTATATCTTTCTTTTTGCTATTACATCCATTATATATTATGTAAACAAATGATATTATAGAGATGGAGAGGCTTGGTCATATGACTTTCTCTGTGCTCTTCCAAAGACGTGCTTCTAGTTACTTGATGAGAGTAGGGAGCCTCCAACTCTCAATCCAGAGCTCTTCCTCTTCCTCCTGTGTCACTCTGGGTGAAGAGACATTTGCACTGTCACTGTTCTTATCCAAGCCAAGAGTTCATGCTGCTTCTCACAGACTAGATGACTTTGGCGAGTAATCTCTCTAACGAGGTCAGGGGCTGCACAGCGGGACTCAACCCCAACACCACTGCTGGTCTCTCAACACAGGAAAACAATGCAGATAAGGAGAATGTGTCTAGTGACCCATTACAATTATTTGATTTTTCAAGCTTTCAGTCTTAAATTATCATGCACCAAAATAACTCTTGTGAGCATCCCTTTTTTGTTTATCTGTTTCCCTCATAGAGTTCAAGTCTTCTAGGGTCTAACTTACTCTGACCTAGTAATCCACTTTACTTGGATTACATCACGATATTTTCATAAGATTCCAATAAGAAAGCTCCCGTGTTCCATTTTCTGGATGCAGGAGCCAGGGCGCAGTGAGTGTCGGGAACTGTGTGCAGCACTGAGGTGCCCCAGCGCGGACTCTGAATCCAGACTCTGCTCTCAGTCACAGCAGTACCTTTGTAGCCTTTGTCGCTCTGCGGCCCCAGTCCCACCTGTGCCTGACGCAGCGACGCACAGCAAATGATGATCATGTGCAATAGTTGAATGCACATTTTAGGCGTCCAACATGTTTCTCAGAATCCATCTTGATTTGTTTCTGTGTGGCTGGAACATTGTTGGGAAGTAAGATTAAAGAGGAAGCTTATTCACCTCATTTCACTGGAGGTGATTCTCATTCATTTGTTAATTTAAAGACAGTTCTCTGCTTTGCACAAAGAGCATGTTCTATGCCTGAAACTGTGGAGATAACCAGATGGCTGCCCTCTCTCACTGGACCACTTCCACCCCCCGCAGCTTTGTGGTTTTGATGAAGAGTGGACGGGGTAGAGGGTCCACCAACTGTGCTGTACCCCCCGGAAATAATGTTAGAGCACATACTCCACATTCAGAGGTCTTCCTTAGGTCAAGTGTTGGTCCAAAGCTACTTGGTGGTGCATACGTAGTAGTACATACAGCAGGTAACCCATCACCGTCAGACTGACCCA